ATTCTGACAAACTCTCAGATGAGCATTCGGACAAGTGTTTCCTCTTCCTTATTATGTGGCCACTGTTTGGGCGTACGACTGTTTCCCGAGGAATGCTCTCAAACCTCAGGAATGTCAACCCTAGGACTGAAGAAAATGGTTAGTCTTACTCCCAGTGTTGTTTTGCCCCAACTAGTTCTGGCAATTCAGGGGTTCAAAGTTATTGCTGCTTTATTTTTCTATACCCTGAAAAGATGCTAATGACTGCAGTCCCCTGGCATCTGTGGAAAACTTAAGGAGATCCTGTCTGGCTACGGAGCAGAGTGTAAATACTAGTGATCCTCCTTATTGCGGAGGATATCAAGAGTGAATCTCCTGCACTGCCTTATTGCGGAGGATATCAAGAGTGAATGGATTTTTTTTCTTTTTTTCTTTTTCTTTTTGCTGAACGTTGCTGTTTATCACTGCTATTGCCTCTGTCTCCTCCTGAGGACCCCTGGGAACTAAAGGGAAAAGGGCAGCGAGGCTCCAGGAGGGACACGCCGGGATAAGAGCCGTGCCCCATGTAGCCACCAGCCCGGTGGGCGCTGTGAGGGTCAGCCCGTGGCAGGGATGGAAGAGGCCCCACTTCAGGAAACAAGCTTTGTAACTTCATTTTCTTATCCCTCAGATGTAGCTGGAAACAAAACTGAGGCTGAACACAGTTTTCTACAAGGCTGCTTGTAGTCCTTGCACCTTAGTTGGGCTTCTGAGTTGTGTAATATTTCTTAATGAACTCAATAATTGTGTGTGTATATACATATATATGTATATATCTACCTAATACTTGCCTGGTTAGATCCTTTACCTAGTGGCAGGCTTAAGGTTCTTTTAATTTTTTTTGAAGATCTCTTGATGTGGCTTTTGAGTGGCTCCAGTGTTGTACATCCATGTACTCCATGTTGTAAGCACTACTTGTTCTCCCTAGAATATTTGTTTAGCAGGACAAAAATCAACTGTGGGCAGATGTCCTTAGCTGTATAAGGACTTGCATGTTTTCAGTATATCCATCAAAATGGAGAGCAGCTGGGTGTAAGCATAGCTTATGGACTTGTTCTCCTGGGAATGTTGCTGACAAGTACCTTTAACAGCAAGTTTTCTTCACTTGGGTAATTACAAGGTGTGAAAATACAGTGTTTTAGCAATCTGCTGTTTTCATAAGCATGTAGTTTTAAATGTCAAAGATTATCTTTAATTTAGGAAGTAGGAACTTGTAAAATTGTACTTCTCTCACTTAAGTTTCTGCAGTTGTTCATGACTGCTCATGTCTGAGGCTTCCCAAGTTTTAGCATTAACTTCCTGTCGAAAGCAGGAGCGCCTGCTCTGACACCTTTGGAGCTGCTCCAAAACATCCCGGGAGAAGATAAAGCGAAAGAGTGAGTTTTGCTCGGATACTGTGACAGCAAATGCCCCTTTCAAGGGAGATAGCTCGACTGCTGCTCCTCAGAGCCATCAAAAGAGCCCTCGTGGCCCAAAATCTGCCCGGACTTGCCCTTGCATTGTGGCGGATTTGTGTCATGGAAGGTTTGGCAAAGTTTGACTTGCAGGCAGGGCTGCTTATGGGGTGTAAAATGGACCTTCTTGTGCTGGAACACTTGGCTGTGTTTGCCCAAGGATTTGCAGTGGTTACAAGGGATGTTCTGGATATAATATACTTTAAATATATCAAAATCCTTTCAAATGTACCAGATGATAAATTGATAACTGCCTGGTCTCTGTCGCCATACTTGTAACAGTCTCTGTTCCCAATTCTTGATTTTTTTTTTTTAATACTTTGCCTTTAAAACCAATAGTATAGAAGACCGTCCCTAGAAGACGGGGAACTTGGAGAACTGTTGGTTTGTCCTCAGTTAAAAAATCTTTGATCTTTTCCTTATGGCATAAGAACACGTATTGTCTGTATTTGCCTGCCATGGTAAGAGGAGTGGTGCAGATAGCTATTATCTGCACCAAGAATTATTAAAGGCAGTGACTGGACTGAAGAAAATGGAACTGCACCAGGATTAGCTTCCTCAGTTACTAAAATATCAAACTCTATCAGGTTTTTATAGTTTTCCACATGGAATATAGAGTGGAAGTAGTGCTTGGCATCTGTCTTTAATTAGCAATATACGAATACTTATATTCTAAAAGCAGAAGGTTTTTTTAATAAAATTTTCATTTTGCATCCTTGGATAATGAGTGTACCACTGGCTGCTGCTTAATTATTCCTCTTCCAGTTTTTATGCATCACAGATTTTTGTCCAGATAAGCAACTTGCTTTTATAGACATCCCTCTGAATTAGCAAGCTTCTTTTCAGTATAAGAATCTTCTCTCTTATAAATTTAACAACCTTCCTCCCCATTTTTTAACATCAGTTTGTGCCTCAGACGTTATTTCATAGGTTTTTAGGGAGTTGCTGGTTTGAGCTGATTTACTTAAGAAAAGCAGATTACGTAGCCTTAATGTTTTCAGTTCTATTGCCAGCTACAGTGCAAACCCACATGTTAGTTGACCAGTGTAGCAGCCTTTTGAAGGCACCTTCCTTTTTTTTTCTCACTTTTTATAAGTTAGAAATATTTTTTGCAGAGGGAAACATATCCCTTTATTCCTTATCCCATAAAGCCATATCCCAATCTCATTATCCCACCCCTTGCTGCTTTTGCAAGGAGAACTTAACATGCAAAAAATGAAATCAAATAGCCCTTTTTTTCACAAAAGCGAGGAGCTGACTGAATTTACATCACTTCCACGTTGCTGAAATGCCCATTGCAGTGACTCATGCCTGATTCTTCTAAAGAGAGAAAAAGAATGTCTAAAAGGTAATGAAATGTGCACTGAGCTGAAACTAGAAAACATGGTAGGAAGTCTTAAATTTGACCCTATAGAAACTATGCAAATACCCAATGTTCTGTGGGAAAAAAAAAAATGCATCTTTTGGGCTTGCTGTATGTAAACAGTTCGCTGCTGTTGTGTGCCATGAAGATCTCATGGAATTCTGTCTGTGTCAAACTTGAGCAGTGAGACAGTGGTTAAAAATTATTTCAATTTTTGGATGTATATGGTTAAGTCTTTTTTTTTTTTTATTTTTTTAATGTATATATTTATATAGAAAGTTTATATAGCCTAAGTAGTTCATTTGCGTGTGGCTTGACCCAAAGTTTTCCCTGGCCAGTATCAGGGAAATCCTGTGCCTCAGTCAAGACTGCCCTTTGTCATTGAAAACTTCATTAAATGTCCATAAAAATGCCCTCAGTCATATTTTTCGTAGGTACATAGAAACTGGAGGGAAGAAGTGACTGGATATAGGGGTGACTCTGTAATTTTTTTGTGTTCTATTCAGAACTTCTCCAAGTCTACAAAAATGAAGAGCATTCAGTGTCTTAGAGGGAGCAGGATGTGAACGTGCTGCAGTGCAGACTGTACCAAGCAGCTGCAACGAGGCTGGATTCACACGAGCTAGGTCATAGCTCTGATGAGAGCCACGTAAATGGGGAATTAGTTTGGGCAGCTTTATGCTTCGTCTCGTAACTGCTGCTTTATAGGTGATGGAAGTGCCATGAGAGGATAAATAATCTTAAACAAACCAAGAATGTAAGAAGTTCCTGCCCGTGTCAGACCGGTGACACAGCCCTCTGACAGGCTCTAGGACGTGGGTTCAAACCTGCTCCTTGCTGTGGTCCCTTCTCTTTGCGCTCCTGCAGCATCCACAGCTGCTGAGTAAGAGTTTTTAGGAAGGGAAACCCATAGCCGGTCAACTTGGGGTTTGCATCGATGTTGTTAAGCACCTCTAGCTCTTGTATTTGAGGTGGATGGTGCCTTTGTGTTTGATTGTCCACCTCCTTCCCAACTGTGAACTTCAGTTATGCCCTCCCTCAGCGTTCACCTCCAGACAGGAGGTCCAGCCCGTCTGGTGTCTCGTCCTAAGGTGCCTCTCCGCTACCTCCTTCATTCTGGTTGCCCTTCTGTCCTTTCTCTGATCCCGGTGCATCCCCTTGAGATGTGGAGAGCAGAGCGGAGCTACCAGCAAAGATGCAAGTGCACCAGTTTCATGCAGCCAAAATGACCCTCTGCTTTCAGTATCCTTCCTGATGATGCCTGGTGTTTTGCTGGCTTTTTTATCTGTCACTGCACTTGGAGCTAGGAATTACATGGGAATCTTACATGTAAGCATGGTAGTGTTCAGTGATGTTAGCAATATTCAGACCATTGAGTGCTGAAACCTTCCTTTTAATTTCTCGTGGCAAAGAGGATGATGCTCCTTTTACGAGTCCTCCTGGGGATTTATTTAGACACTCGGTTGCCTCTTACCTCCTTGCAAAGAGTGTCATTTTGTGTGCTCAGATCCGTCCTTTTCTTTTGAGGGCTTTTCAGAGTTCCTTTAAAAAAAAGTGATGGAAGATCAGCAGAATAATATAGCAGCTCTGTGTTTGTTATATGTTCCCCATCTGAACTGCGACAAGCAGAGAGGTCAAAATGTTTCTCGAATAAAACTAATTATTTTGAATTGAAGACAGTCTGAGTCTAGTTGTTTTTATGTTGCTTTGGGTATATGTTGTAGGAAACTTATTTTTCTGAAATTGATTGCACCGGGTAGTATGTGTGGAAAATACTGTGATGCGGCAGTAAGAATCGTGCGATTTAGATGCACGTGAACGTGTGTCCGCAACGTGGCCTGCACTGAAGCAACGTGTAAGGAGCCACATTAGCAAGAGCTAAGCCATAAAGTCAAGGGAAGTGATCTTGTTCTCCCTATGGAGCGTTGTGTCCTGTTTTCTCTCGTGCTCTGCCCCATGCAAGAGAGGTGTTAGCAAACAGAGGGGTCTAGCAAAGACCTGCTGAGATGTTTTGGGGACTGGTGTATGTGATGTTCCTGGAAAGGCTGGGGAAGTTGGACTTGTTTTGCCAGGAGAATAAATGCTTGATGGGGAATTAATTACAGCTTTCTGCTATGGAAAGGGAGCTTGCAGAGAAAAGGGGAACAACCTTTTCTGAGAGACGCATGGTGAAAGGACAGCATGACAAGGTATGGCAGGGAAACTTCTCGCTGCGTATGAGGACAGATATTTTCACTGAGACTGATTAAGCTTATCCAGAAAATTTTATTCCTGAAACAGCTTATCCAGAGAATTTAGGGATTGTAAAATTTTGACCTCAGAAGACTGAGCAACCTGATCTCACTGTGAAGCTAGCCTTGCTTTGAGCAGGTTGAATAGATGACTACATGCTATCTAAATCTTTTCTTTGATTCTGTGCTTGAAAACAGAGCGTGAGATATTACTGAAGTGTCTGCACTGTTAGGTCAGGCTGCAGGCAGCACCTGTCCCATTTACTAATGGATAATTTTAGCCAGAAATCGGAACTTTCAGCAATGTTTCCCAGTTGCCCTAGAATCCTGGCGTTCTTGGTGGCAAATACTAACCCAATAAGATGCTTTTTCAAAACAGCGGGCAAGAGGTGGTTTTCATTCAGTAGTAACAACCTGAGGATATAGATTCATTTATGACTTCAGGCGTTACGATATCCATGTGTAAAATATCTTCCTAGTTTCTTTGCAAGGAGTAAATTGAGAGTAAATGTTCTTGCAAATATGGGAAGGGAAGGAGTTTACAGTACATTTTGGTGAGTGTGGGTGTGGAAGTTGTACTTGGAAATCTTTTACACTCAGACTTCAGAGCCTCTTTTATATATATATATGTGTGTGTGTGTGTATATATGCATTATATATTTAGTTGCCCAGCCTTATTGAAACCCCAGAAACTTCATCAGTCACTGAGCTTAACACCAGGAGGTTTTCAAAATCCCATGCTTTGATCTCAAGGTGAGCTTCAAATCTCTGTGGGAATACGGTGCCAAATCCCTGGCAGAACAGATGCTGCCAGGGCTGCGCGTGCCCGGTTGCGCGCAGCTCGGTGTGCAGCCCAAGCTGTGTTCAAGTTGCCCTATCCTACGTGGGTGTTTGCAGTGTGGGAAAGCTTTGGGCCCTCTGCCGTGTCCAGGGCCATGCACTCAGGTAAGTGTAGATAGTAGCAATGATGTTCTCAGACTAGCAGATAGGAGGCTTAGGTACAAAGTTTGGCTTTTGACCCTTGAAGGGTCTTGTTCCTTCTTAATGAACGTATTCTTAGTACTGACTGCCTAAGATATTGGATTTATAAAATAAAAGGTCATAAATTTATATGATCTCCTGCTGTTTCTCTGTGTGTGTATATATAGGATGAGAAGGAAGCCAACAAACCCATGCCAAACAAAGGAGACCATGGACTAGGAAATGAGAAGTTCAAACCCGTGGTACCTTGGCCTCATGTTGAAGGTGTGGAAGTGGACTTGGAATCCATTCGAAGAAAAAATAAGGCCAAAAATGAACTAGAACATCACGCTGGTGGTGATAACAATCAGCAAAACATCATCCAGAGGCAATATCTCACATTTAAGCCTCAGACATTTGTGTACCGAGATCCTGTTTTACGACCTGGAATCCTTGGTAATTTTGAACCCAAAGAGCCCGAGCCTCATGGAGTTGTTGGTGGCCCTGGAGAGGAAGCAAAGCCATATGTTTTAGGACCAGAATACAAAGAATCCATTCAAGCCAGCATTAAAGAGTTTGGGTTTAATATGGTGGCAAGTGATATGATCTCACTAGATCGGAGCGTTAATGACTTGCGTCAAGACGAGTAAGCAGACTTTTTGTTTTATTTTAGTTCTGTTTTTATGCAGTTTGATCATTTTCTTTCTGTAGATCTTAATCGATGCTTAAAATAATATTATTAATTATACCACATAACTAAGATCTCTTTGTCTTGGCAAGCAAGAGTAATATACTATACCAAATGTTTCCATATATTATTCTTTATGCTGTTCTGTTAATCCTTTCATAAATACTTAATCTGTATTGATTTGCTTCTGAAGTCATCCATTTTAGTGTCTAATTGCCCATATTCAGATGTTCCAGGTCCAACCACAGTCTTTATTGTATTATTTTCTGTGTTAATCTATAACCTCTTATGGTTTGTTTTTGAGTAAGAATGCCTTTTCTTTATTGTTTCATACAGAGTTCATATGCTACAGTTTAATTGGTTAGGTTTGGGGTTTTCCCCAGAGCTTAAGAAAACCCTACAACACAAAAACCTTCAAAAAGAAGTGAGAACTGAAAGGAAAGATGTTACTTCCCCTGAATAGCTCTGCGTATTTGCTTTCACTGACAGAAGTGTCCATCTACAGATCTGCCCTTGTGGCAGAGTTTGGGGCTGGCAGCAGGGGGGCCTCCGAACATTTTCACACTGGGTTTCTTATAGACAAGACCAGCATCTCAAAATGAATTTTCGCTTGGTTTTGGAGAGGGGGAGCTATGTTGGGGTGGGGGAATTTGGGGAAGATGCTTGTGTTTACCTGGAGAGTGTGATTGCTAATGGATTTGTGCAGTCTCTACTAGTCTTTTAAGTTGCATGCTGGAGGCAGATTCGCTCTCAGGCTGGTGTGTGTGTGTGATATAATTTCCTTGCTGAATCTCAGGGAAAGGTCTCTGAGCAAACTGTTCGACTGGTTTTGGTATGAAAGGAGGGTTCTTGCCTGCTTTCTCTCGAGTAATCTCTTGAGTTTATCTTTACTACTGATCTAAAGGAGAGTTATAGAGAGAAATCCCCTTCCAAGGAATTGAGCAAGTATTTTGCATATTTTCAGGAACAGGAGGGACAGCTATGTGAGCGAGCGGAGTGGGAAAGATAAGCTGAAGAAAACACTGTTTCCTCTCAAAGAGCATTTGCTGATGTGTCTTCCGTGGGATTTAAAGCCAGTAGCTCAAATAAAAAAAACGTAGGCTTTGTTATTTAATATTCTACTTTAAAGAAGCAAACAAAACAGCACTAGGAACTATGTTAACAAAGCAGTCTCTCAGGCAATATTTTGTCAAATGTTTTGTGCGTTGATTAGTTGGGGTGTTTTCTATTGCCCTAAATAGATTAAAGCTTTATGGCTCTCGTAAGCCTCCTGGGAAAGGCAGAAGAGAGGAAAAGCAACCTATGACTGGCTGGTACTGCTGTAGGCTCCTGGCATCAACATATTCATGGTCCTGCTCCGCTCCCTGATACAGGGAGCTGGTGTTTGGGAGGACCCTCAGATAACAGATTGGACCTACCATTTAATCTACCCTAATTTCTGTTCACTAAGTCCAAAAGCCTTTTGTGTGGTACGACTGGTTAGCATTCAGTTTAATCCTGCCAAGGAAAAGTCTAATGGTCCTTGTTGGTTGCCAGAACCTTGGCTAATTGAGGAAGATGTCCAGGTGGAGGCTGGGTTGCTCCTTCAGAGGCATCCAAGCCCAGGTTAGCATCACCTCAGCCTTCTGCTGCAGGCGTTAAGTTTCTTAAACACCATCGGTGTCAGCAGTCAGGTTTGTTCGGTGAAGTATGTCCAGCGCCTTCCCCGGCGGCGGAGCAGGAGGG